TTACTTGGTAAAACTCGATATAACCTGGAGTTCAGAAATGGGTACTGTCTCTGCTAGGTTTGACTAATGATTGTGCTAAGCTAGATGCTGTGGTAGGCTAGAAGCATCACAATGGTAAGAAAAAAACTCTCTTCATGCATATTACACATGGTTGGTAGGAAATATAGAATAACGAATGACCAGAATAATGGATGATACATATAATTACAGTGTTATAGAGTATTTCAAGGAGCCAGGTGAAGAAAAGTGCACGATCTTGAAATGGCAGGTGAGGAAAGCTAGCTGTGGAAAATATAACTTTGATGATAATACAAGGATCCTGGGATTAGCTATTCCAGAAGAGCAAAAAAAAAAAGGTTGGCAAATATCATATTGGAATATTGCATATTTATGTCAAGGAAGGACATAAAATGTCTGCATGTCCTGATGTGATCAGAATAATCTTGATTTTTAGCTATTGAACAGATGCAATTAAGAATATTTTATTCACTCTCAAATGTGTCTTCTATTTGAAATATAACCATATAGTTACCCAACCAGATAAACTGGAGACATTATGAAAAATTACAATAGCTATGTAGATAACCTCACAATAGAAATCCAGTCTCATTAGAATTAGTGTTCTCCTGTTTTTCTGTTTTGCTTTGAGTTTTTTTTATTTGTTTGTTTGTTTGTTTTCATGTCCTTCTCTTTGCCTAAGAATCTTCTTCAAAATTTAAGAAGTCTGATGTGAGGTCTGAAACTCTTATGAAAAATAATTTTGTTTAATAGTTTTTAAGTGCATGACAAAAAAAATAAATGGGAAAAACACTATACTAGCTGTCGCAATATTCCATTCTATGAGTGACGACTGGAGGAATTAATTTGAGAGTTGGTTTATTTGCTACATTTTTAACGAAAGCACAATTTGGGAGAATCATTTCACTACCATAGCCTCCGAGAGAATTTCAATTTAGAATTTCTTGACAGAATATTCAATTTGTAGAGTATTGAATTCATGAATGAGGAAAATGCTAGATGTTCCCATGTAGAAAATAATAAACATGCTTGTATATAAATTTTGGCTTATGCTCCCATTAAATCGGAATGATGATACATGAAGATCATTTACTGACATATATAAATATGTGAAACCTTTCAAAGAATTCATAAATGGGATGATAATACTTATTTTGCAGTACTCCTTAATGTTTTAAAGATTATATGAAAGCAATAGCCAGTAAAACTGAATAAGAAAAATAGTGCTTATTAAACATATCTATACACAATTTAAAAATCCTCTTATGACTCATTAGAAAATCAGGGTGAAACAAATAAGCAATGCTGTCAAAATGATAGGTCATTAACATCTACAGTGCTACTTATAAGAAAAGAGGGTTAGAAAGACATTAGAACACCAACTCACAAAGAAAATAATGAATTGAATTCCATGAAAAGCTATTTTGAATATTGGCCATTTTCTTTATCCTGATGCACTATGGATGAATATAGTTCTGATTGAATGAGACGGATGGGTCTTGCAAAAGGCTGCCGGGCATTTAAAATCCAAACATTTGGATGGATGTGTGAAGAAAGCAAGTAAAAAGGAGCCCAGGTGGTCAGAGAATAGCAAGATAGGGGTAGTAATTTTTGAAAAATCAAATGAAATTATCTTTCATGGTTTTTTTCTTTTCATTTTCAGGCTCAAGAGCCTAGTAGGACTTACTGGGGAAAACATTTAGAAAATAAAGCAAACTTGGTGAAATAACTGTTCTATTTTTCTTTTACATAAATGGATTTCACTTAGCAATGTTTTAGCAATCTCATAAGGAGGGTACAATATCTGGCAGCTTTGATGGCTATATCTCACAGATGTTTTTATTAATATTTTAACAGAATCTGGGGAACTAAATTCTTTAGGATGAGGAGTGGTATTTCCAGTTAATCACGTACACCCATGACTTTTTTATTATTTTAGTTTATTAGTACATGTGTGTGATAAATAATGTTTACATTGTTTTGGAAAGTTGGTATATGTACAGAACACATCTTAATTTCTTTCATCACCCCCTTTTCTTTCCCTCTTCCCACTTCAGCGTATATCTTGATCCCCATTTTGCGCATGGTTGCAATGCACATTATTTAGAACTCTTATGTGGAGTTGGTACAAGCACATAACACACTGCTACTCCTTCTTTTCATCCCTAACCCTCCTGTCCCTCTCCATGCTTCCCTGACTCTCCTCGCTCTCTCGCTCTCTCTCTCTCTCTCTCTCTCTTGCTCTCTGTTTCCTCATCCCCTCTGACAATGATCTATCTTCCTCATTCTATTATCTGTCTATCTTTTATTTTGCTCTTTGCTTTTACTCTGGGTTTCTCATATAAGAGAAATGAGTTGTGATATTTGTTCTCCATATCTGACTGGCTCTAAGAGATCTTTATCGTAGGTGGTGTTGGTATTTTGATGTAAGAGGAAAAGAAATAGAGAATTGAAGTAGTTTTCCTAGATTCAAGAAGTATATTGCATGACTACTACTAGTCATAAAAGTAGCACATGATGTAGAAGGAATCTAGGTAGGGAATTAAATGTCTGTCTATAGTCACTTTTTTTCTCGTGTGTGTCATTATCTCCATACTAATGGTAGAAATACAACATTCCAAAAATGCCCATAGCTTAGTCCCAAGTATTTGTAACCATCTTATTGTTCATGGGAAAGAAAAGAAAATTCCAAGGGCAGGCAGAATTATCACTGATACTATTTAAGATTATCCTGCATCATACTGGTGGCCTGATTGACCCGTATAAGTCCTTAAAAGTCAAGAACTCTCCCAGATGAATTAGAGATGAGCCAGAAAAAGAAAAACAACTTGGAAGTAGCTAGTCCTGCCCTTTCTGTCACAGAATTAGAGAAAGGGACTGTGAGACAAGGAACTTATGTGGCCTCTAGAGACTGGGAGTGACCTTGGTTACAAGAAATAAAGGACTTTAGTCCTCAACTGCCAAGAACTGAATTCTCCAACAGCTCAACTGTGCATAAATGGATTCTCCCATAGATTCTCCTGGAAGTCACGGAGCCTTACTGCGTACAGTGAGACCTCTGTTAGACTTGTGACTGAAAAAATTGCAAAGTCATTACTTAGGGTCATCTAATCCAGTAAACTTAGAGTGGCACATTTTAACACTAATAGCAAACTCACACAACCACAAATGAAGCAGGACAATAATTTGATTTCTTGACATCACTTGGACCACAGCTACTCCTGGGTGTCATCACTGCATTAAAAGATCACTGTGTGCTCTTGATCTTCCTCTGTCAGTGTAGGAAGAGCTAAATCCCTCCCTGTAACTATTTTGCTCTTTCTCTGTGGCTCTTGTAACTACTAAAGGTATTGCTATAACATGTGAGGTCAATGATGAGTGACCTATTTTGTTGTTGATATTGGGGTATGTGTGTGTGTGTACTTAGAATCTCGATTGGATGGACAGTGTGGGGAAAAGTTACTTCAAAGTTACTTGGGCTCTATTAAATAATGTTTGGAAATACTTGTACACTTAATTATGAAAGTTCCCTGCTTTTGGCGTGGTAGACAAAGTTTGCATGACTATTACTGAACTTGTTATATTTCTCCATTTTACTGAATTTTCTAGATTTTATTACAATTAATAGCATAAACTGCCCTAGAAAGTTCCCTGCCTTTTGCTTGGTAGCCATAGCTTGCATGACTATTACTAAACTTATGTTACTTTTATTATCTGAAATTATTTCTTGAGGTTAGCCTAGCTCTGAAACCACTTGCTTATCTCGTCTGACAGCAGATTTTGAAAATTCTTATGTTTTCTGACCCTTATCCTGACTTTTTCTATATTTAAGCCTAGCTGTCTCTGGACCCAAGCCATGCTGCTTTTACAATCTAATGCTGCCTACTTCACCACCTGATCCCCGGTGCAAATTAACAAGATAGATAATTACCTCTCACAGCTCAGTGCCTTGCATGTGATATGGCTATTGTTGAAATATGTGAGCTTCCATAGAGACACAAAAATATAGGGCATGCAAGATTTATTTCAAGGATCTGCAGCCATGATGAGAACACTTGTAAGCATTAACAGGAAAACAACTAAATCATGTCTCCTAATAAAAATACACTCTGATTTGAGTTTATAGTCACTATCCCAAAGCAAGTATCTTTTCTAATAATAAAAAGCAATTAACAATTTCACCTAATATAATTTTATTTTAAGTGGTTTTGTGGCTATGGGCAAAATTTCTACTATGGTGAAGATCAAAAGGATAAAGAGAATCTGGTGAGGGCATAGTGGTAGCTTTTCCCAAGTCCATGATATTGTGCTGTTGAAAAGAGAAGACGTTCCCTTTAGATGAGATGTGCTTCCACATGGCCTTAGAAACAACGGGAAAGGTTGTGTTTCTGGTCAGTTCCTTGGAGAGAAGTTAATGGTGTTTTTTTTCCAGATGACCTATTATTTGTGCATGAAAGTTAAATACCTTTCTGTAGACTTCCTCGTATTCCTGTCCTATATTTAAAAATCTCCCACTAAAATATAAATTTCATTGGTGAGACACACTTGCCTACTCTCAACACTACTGAGCCCACAGACAAATCTGAAAAACAGTGAGGTTCTCTCATGAACGAGGCAACTCCAAAGGGACTTTCCTTAGCCCAGTGGCTCTTTTGTTGTGAGCTAACTCTAAGGTAGGCAATTGGCATGTTAGATTCATTTTTCTGGGTAGTACACTTATTCATAAATATGTGTAAAGGATATCTTGTAATAAAATATTCAGGAATACTTAAGTATACTGTGCTTCCACTGTGTGTCATGAGATAAAACTGTTTCTTTTTTTCCACACGTATGGCATTTTCTACTTCTTATCTATCCCATATTGTACGCATTTATCATCCCATCTTCAGGGAAAGGAGACAGAGACCCAGTGAGGATTCCTCACAACTTGTTAGGAAAAAATGTATAATGAGAATATTTGAAAACAAATAAATCTCTCTTACCAGATCTGTACTATCTGTTTTGGTTTTTTTTTTCTTCTGTATTGCATGGCTTTTAATTCCTCCGTTTTAAGCTTTCAGAGGATTTCTCAGTCACTTTCTCATTGCAGGGACTCAATACTCAACACCTAAAATTTGAAGGGAGAGGGTCTTCTTTAGGCTCCGGTTGTTTAGAAGTTCCAGCCTGTGGTCAACAGCACGCGGAAAAGCCTGGGTGGAAGAAGACTGCTCACCCTATCACTGCCACCGAGGACGCTGCTAGGAGGTAAAAATCAAGAGAGGAAACAGGAAGAGAGCTATGCCCTTCCGGGTCACGCCCTTCTAGGTCACGCCCACAATGACCCGCCTCTTGGGGACCCAACATCCTAACAGCAAGTCAATTCTAACCCCCAAGTCCAATCATCTTCCAAACACATGAGGCCCTGGGGTCATGTTAGATGTAAGCTATACCAAGAGGAGTTTTCAATAATGGACATAGACCCAAGCTCAGGTAGCTTAAATTGTAATTGAACACCAACATGGTGTCTTCGGATTTTGAGGCAAACTCTCCCTCTCTCTCTCTCTCTCTCTCTCTCTCTCTCTCTCTCTCTCTCTCGCTTCTCACTAAACAGTTTTTTCTGTTAGCCGTGACAGTGCAAGAAAATGACTTATTTATTATCAGTCATGATCTGTGGAACTGAGAGATCTTCTAGGCAGGTACTTTGTGTTTCTTAAAATAATAAGATGATACATTTAGTACTGAAAATAGTTTGTTGGCAGATGTGGTGATGCACTTGCAATCCCCACACTGGGGAAGTTGAGGCAGGAGCACTGCTGTGAGGCCCAGGCAAGCCTGGGCCCCATAGTGAGTTCAAGGCCGGCCTGAACTACATATTAAGGCCCTGCTTTAAAAAACAAACATATAAACAAAAAGTAACGTGCCAACAGATAAAATTAGTTTCAGTGGTCCAAGAGGAACATGTTTTTAATATTTCTCAGTAATGAATGACCCAAAGGATTTGACATCAAACCTATGAAATACAAAATAGATTTGCTTTATATGCCCTGTCTTTACTTTTCTGTCAAGGTAATATTATTTAATTTTTCTCTACGATATCAGGATATTCCTCTGTAAATACATACTATTTGATGTATCTAAAGACAAGGGGACTTCATCAAAGACTTGTTTTATCTGTACCTTAAAGTAGTTCATCTGTCCTGTCATGCTTTTCCATGCCTTTGGCAATACTATGCCTGTAGATGTGTTATCCACGTCCATCTTTCTGGTAACCTTATCCTTACTGTGTTAGACAGTTGGGCAAGGGAGTATAGGGTGTCTGGACTTGAAGTTTTTCAGAGAGAAAAATGGTGATACAAAAAAATAAGGATGGAAAAGTTAGAAGGTACTTGAGAGAGAAGCAAAGAGAAAGAGAAAAGACCAAATCTAGCGTCTGTCTGTAGTCATGAATCTTGAAAAGCCCAAATGGAAGCAGTGTAAAGAGAACTCAGTTTTTCATACTATTATTTTAGTAACACTGTGCAAATATAATGTGATAGAAACCCCTATAATCCACACGCTTTCCCCCATTTAACCGCTTTGTGTTCACACCTGCTTTATTTGATGCTCACACTGATTTGGTTCCTGGTTAATTTTGCATACATATTACACCTGCATCTTCCTAAAGATAATATTTATTATATCAATTGAAATGCATAATTTGATAGAAAATATAAACAGTAAATAATTAGCTGATTTACAACTTGCCTTAGATAACATCTTCAATTATTAAAATGATTAGTAAAATTGAATTCAAGATAAAAACCTCAGTTTAATTTGAACTTGTCCTTGAAGCTACTTTCTGACCCATTTTAATATATTTCCTGTTGAAATATTCATAAGAGAAATTTTAGACTTTGTGTTTAAGGTGACTTTTTTTTCAGTTAATTTCCAATTTTTTGAAATTCCCTTCCCTCTTGTATTCCTTTCCCTAGGTAAAAAGTTCTTGAACATATCGATACGAATCATTTTCTTTCATTTTCTTTAAGAGCATGTGACTTTTAGCAATAGATCTATAAGAACTTAGCATTTCTCTGCTGCTTAGACTCCCTTGAATATACACAATGTTGTGAAATTGTGAAATATGCACAATCTTGTGAAAAAGTCTAACCATTAGAATGTATCCGTTTTAAGTTTAAGCAACGTGGTTTGCTTCACAGTATAAACAACACTCCTCATAAAACAAGGGACTATGAATATTAAAGAAAATATAATTATCACCTGAAATGCTGATCAAATTGCTGCTGTTTCACAATTATGAGCCTTGGCCATTAATTTGGGTTTTTATAGAAGAGGGATACTCATAGATTTGTGACATAAATATACACAGTAGTAGAAGCTACTATTTCCCCCCTTTTGGTAGATGGTTTAGCACAAGTTTATTCATTAAAAGAGATGAAAAGAGTGTTCCATCCTGTATTTCTAATATCTTCATGCCTTTCTCTAGGAAGTCTCTTATAATTGGTGTGAGCTGCTTTCATTATAAAAAACTTTCTTATTATATATACACAAAAATGTTCTATACGAAAATGGTTAAGTACAGAATATTTCTTACCATGCACTGCTTAACCTGCACAGGCCTGAGGATATAAATTTAGAGGAGGCCCCCACAGCTATGTGCTCCATCTCAGCTACTCTTGCTCTTGTATTTCAGTTTATTTCTCCAAACAAACAAACAAAAAAGTGCATATAAAAGGAAAGGAAACAGAGAGTGGATCTTCTGTTTGCCTTTCTGTTGGGCTCTCATTTCTCTACTTAGAGTGGGTCCTAACTTTGAGGAACATTAAGGTACAGAGTTCCCAGTGGATCCTTTTCGATTGATTCTATACATTGACACCAAAGGCAAAAACAATTTAAGGTTCAGTGGCATCTCTGAAATCTTTATATCCAAACCCTTGACCCAAAGGCGCGAGAACCAACCTACGGCTTCAGACAGACTTTACAACGTAGGTTCATGTCCTGCACAAGGTAAACGTTTGAACTTTTGTTTAATCTGAGTAAAAGTTGCTGTAACTATTTCCTGTGAACTTCTTTTTGCTAAAATGGTGGTCTGTGTAACCAAATTTAACTTATAAATATAAACAAGATGTACACTGCCTATATTTCTTCAACCTCATGGAAAAACCTTAGGTTCATATTAGTATTGAATTCTATGACTTTTCACAAGAATATATAAATTACATTGTAGAGTTATCTTTATTTTTTCTAAACTGGAAATAATAGTCTGATTCCAACAAGTCCCAAAAGAGTTACTACAAGTTTATTTTTCTAAGAAAAGTCTACAATTTAAGTGTAACCAAGATACTTGTAACCAGCCACACCTTTCATGCACATACTTATCTTTCTGAAATATATGTGTTTTCATCCAGCATTGCCAACAGAATATTTGAAGCAAAGTACATAAATAAGAAAATATTCTGATATGCTTGCTGCTACTGTAGCAAAGTTATAAATTTAGGTCAGTTTAATGCATTTATTAGGTGGCTTTTATCCTTCAGATTCCTTGCCAGGAGCAGGATATAAATAGCTATCTAGGACACAAACCTAATACTCTCCAAAGCTTAGTCTGGATGTCTATGTAAATTTTTTATATCACAGAGAAAGAAAGACAACAACATAAAATACTGCTTAAGGAACCCATTTTTAAGCCAACATGAGATCAGTTTTAAGTGCAGAGCTTAATTCCAAAAATATCTATGAAAAGACCTCATATTTATTGACTGTGGCATGAACAAAACCCTGGTGGGTTGTTTGTGTTTTTTTATTTGTTTGTCTGTTTTACTATATGTGGATCCTCTTTAAATGATCCACTTAGCCAAGGCAAACACACTGAGAATTATTCATAAAAATTCACTGGTCTTCTTCCCAATCCTTCTATATCTCCCCTAGTTCTATTTGCCCTTATAAATAATTTGGACATGCTTTTTGGGCTTTCCCCTTAGTCTTATGAATGATTTTTTTTTGTCTCTACCTCTCTTTACTACACCTGCAGATAAAACAAACAAAACCAAAAATATTTCCTGTGTTCTCCTGTAGTTGCTCTTTATGCAAGGAAGGAAGCAATACTCTCAGTGATCTGTTGGTGTATATGAAACATCGAGTTCTCTAGAACAAACACACTAATCCACCAGCATTATAGTGTTCGTTCATTTCCCTGGTGTGAGAATTTTCATGTGGCTTATATCAAAGTACCTGTGTGATGTCACTGAGCACAGCATTGGGAAGTTTTCCACTCTCAAGACCCAGAAAAGTTGGCTGTGGCCAACAGGACTGAATATTCCTTTCCTAATACAGTTCTAACATAGTTCTTAAGAATGAAATATATCCCTGAAGACTAACACTTTGTGACAGTGAAAATCAGAATAAAAATATTCTAGTAGAATGAAAGAGTAACCAACATATGGCGTAGTATCAGCAGATCCTGGAAAATGTGTAAACAAATGAAATCTGAATCAAGTGCAGAAGAAGCCAGTCTGAGTTCTCCTGCTGAATGGTCAGCAGAATAACTACATTCTTTCATGGAAATTTTATGTATAATACATAGCGTGCAATGTAAGCCTTAAAGCCATTCATCAATATCTTTTTTTTTTTTTATCAAACTACAGATGACCCTGGACTTACTGTGGGACCATTTTAATAAACCCATCATAAGTTGAAAATATTGTAAGTCAAAAATGTGTTTACTACACCTAACCTACCGAACGTCCTACCTTACCCAAAAGTATATTGGAGAGTATCATCTGTGTACCTTCATGATCACGTGGCTGGCTGGGATTGGTGGTTTCATGCTGATACATGGTATGAGAAAGAAGGGAACATCAGCCAGCACATAACTTGTGGATTTTTAAATAACAGTCAAGAAATAATAGCCTGCTTGCAACAAGGCCCAAAAGAATATTACTGCAGGAAAAGTTTATTTTCCTAAGAAAATTCTGTGTTCAGGTTTAATCAAGACTCTTGTACCCCCGTACATTTCATACAAATATTTAACTTTATCTGGTAGAAGGAGAAGAAAAACAAAGTAAGGGGTAGTACCAGCCACTCTGGGGAGATACATGATATCTAACTCAGGAAAAAAAATAAAAAATACCAAGAGTAACTTCAACTTAATTTGTAGTGTTGCACATGTCATGAAGTAAAACATTCTGCAAAATCATTTTATATTGGAAGCCTTCATTGTCCAAAAGAATGGCACTTGTAGCTCTCCTGTATTTAAGTGTGGCTATGCATCATTCTTAGACCAAGAAAACATGAACCGAGGCGACACACATCAACCTTGGTAGAAGGATTTAAGGACAAGTGTTTGATTTTCTATGCTTCCTGCTCTGGTGATTGGAGTGCAGTAAATTGATATAGCAATGCCAGAAGAAATCTAACACAAGTGGGTGGCAGTCTTGGAAGGTAAGATACATGCATCAGAGTTTCCTCAGGAAAACAGAAAAGTTTAAAATGTTAAGTCAGTGAGGTTTGGGGTATTTATTAACTTGATAAACTTACTCTATCCTAGCCAAATCAATTATAATAAGAAAAAGGAAGAGGAACAGGAAAAGAAAAAAAGAGAGGGGTGAGTATTTTAGCCTCTTTCTTCATCATTGAGACACAATGCACAACAACACAACTTAAAGGAGGAGGTTTATGTTGCCTCACAGTTTCAGTAGGGTCCTTTCATGGTCAGCTGACTCCCAGGCAGAAATGGCCTGATGCAAGGGCCCCGCGGATGAAAACTGCTCTTGTCTCGGAGCCAGGAACCAGAGAATAAAGAAAGAGCCAGGTAGGCAGATAGGTCCTGCCAGTCACACTCCTGGTGACCGGTCTCTAACTGGACCCGTGGTCCTGACAGTAGACTCCCCTGCTAACCTCATTACTGCATGGACCCATTGGTGTGGAAAGTGCCCCACAATTCACTCTCCTTTCAAAATCCCCTCCTTTGAGTGCATATGAGCTTGGGGGTGATTCTGGATCTAAACCATAATAAGAAAGAAGAAATTCAGAAACAGTGGTGGGCTGATCATTCTTATTTCATGGTAGAATTAATCTTCAGTAGATCTTACTGAATTTGTAAAATCTTGAAAGGATCTTCCAAAAATGACACAAAAAATGATTCTCTATGATTTCCCCCAGGCAGCTGACACTGGAGGTTTGGAAAGGGCTAATTTTCACTTTTTACTTAATAGAAATTTAATGTGGATGGATTATGGGTAATTCTTCCTCGGTTATATTTATCTTCTTGAACTTTTCAAATCCATACTCAAGATCAAGTAAATTCCACATAGGTGTTGCAATGAAGCATATAAGGTGTAAAACATACAAGAAGCAGTGAATCCTTAACAGAAAGTGTAAATGAGGATAAAAATGTATAACAGATAATGTCAAATAGGGAAAAAAAATGTCCAAAAGGGAAGGGGAAGTGGGAAGAGTTCGGGAAGGGAAAGGGAAAAGAATAAATGTGAGAAAAGGAAAACATGGAAACGAAGTCTTTGTAAATAGGAAGGGGTGAAGGGGTTGAGGGGAGTTCAGGGATATGGAGAAAAATAAGAACCAAGATATATCATGTAAAGGTACAAGATCCCAATGATGAATGTCATTAAATTGTATAGCTAAAGTGTACCAGTAAACTTCATGAATAAAAATAAAGTAGTGGGTCCTTAAAGAACATCTTGCTTTTGCTCTACTTCCTAAAACAGTAGATATAATGAATCTACTATTTAATTAATGAAGCTAAATATTTCATTCTTGTCCCTTTAAATTGAGTACATAGTGTACTGAAAGAAAAGTCACTGTGACTCTTCTGCAAAGAAATGGAGACAAATTTCAAATTGAACCCACCTGACTTCCCAGCAAAGAGATTCTAAGGAAATAGCTAATCACAAGCCCAAGATTTGAAAACATTACCAGATAATTCTGACCTTTGTACTCTATTTCTTTTATTGGAAAGCATCAGAGATAGGGTTATTAACATCTTTATTCTTTAATTTTCATACTGTAAGATAATTATTTAAACTCTCAGATGCATAGTATTTTCATCAAAAATAGAAATAATATCTGTTACCTGATTTCCTTATCACTGTAAATTAGAATAAGTCCCGACTTGTCTGGAAAATGCATCCCTTCCTGAATATTTTTCCGGTGAATGCGCTTAATTATATCAACTCCATTGGCCCGGGGATCAGTAAAGCACACTTCTTCCAGTGTGTCTGGGTAGGTCATGGAGGCACAACCTTGGTACTGTAGAGTATCTTGCCCCTTCTTCTGACACTGTTCCCTGCTCTCCTTCCTGGCCATCAGGAGCTAAGCACCTTTGCTCCATTCTATCCTACAGCCATGAAGTTCCTGCACTCAATCCAGCAGACCATGGACTGAATCCCCTGAAACCATGAACCCAAATTAAAACTCTGCTCTTGTACCATGTGGGTGTTACGCTTTAGTGATGGGGAAGGGGTTAGTGCAATTCTTTCTTAGAGTTTAAACTATTCTTTTAAAATTGTTGAAATAAATTATTTTAATTAATTCAGAATCTCTGTACTTTCATATATTTGAATAATATGCTCTCTCAATTTTAATCTCTCCACAAAGAATTGTAAATATTCAATCTATACTTCACTGCAGCTCATACTTGCATATATTAAATTTCACACTAATAATTATCATTGCATCAGAACACAACCCCTGTAAATTAACTTTCAGAAGTCTTTCCCAATTAATTTTTGAGAAAAATGAGATTCAGGGATATTACCTGGCTGCTCAAAGTTTGCCATGATTTATCCGGCTGTCTGCGCCTTTGTTCCTTGTTCTTTCTGCTAAGTCCTTGGTGGCTACAGGGTGTTGCTCAGATAAGTGAAGGATGGTGTATGAAAGGTCTCTCATGCTTAAATCCAAGAATATTTTGGCCTTAGCAAGAACTCCAACCCAATAACAAAAATAATAGCAACCACAGGGCCTCCAATCAGCCTGAAAATGCCAGAGACACAAAACCACAGAATGCATGTGTCTTCCGCTGGGGCAAAACCTGCATCATCTTTGTTTAGGAGTGTTTTATTTTAAGCTTTGCTAGGACGGATAAGTTACAGACTGCAAAATCTTTGTAAATATTTAATAGTTATCATGTTTGTCATTTCTGAGAGTTGGTCCACTTTTGGTGGGTATAGACTGTGACATTTTGCTGCTAAGAAATTTCAATATATTGTACCTTATCTGAGTCCCAAGTCACATTCATGTGCCATGAATATATACATTAGGCATTCATGTGTCACTTCTTCATGACAGTATTGTGCTTTTTGCTGATGTTGTCGTAGGGTTGCATTTGTGCAAACCAAGGTAGGTATGGCGTCACTGGGTGATGTGATCTCATTCATGAAGATCATAAATGCAAGTTTGGGGACCAAAACATCATGATGCAGTGCATGAATTTGTATGGCTACATACATAAGACTGTAACGTTGGTGATTGAAGAGGCTCTTTGGGTCACACTGGAGAAGTTTTCAGCACTCAGCTGAACTACTGTGTTTTCTCTGTGAGCCGATAATTCACACTTCCCATTGCAAATAAAAAGTGAGCCACAGTTTTGCTCTATGGGGGCCTCACACGTATCTCTGTTGAGTCTCTTCCCACCCAGCACTGGAACTGACTCTACATATCTTTCCTTCCCTAATTCCCTCTCAATACCTTGAGGAAAGGGAACGTAGAAACATTTTTAAGCAGCATCTCTTATATCAGTACTGTCTCACAGTGCGGTTAATGTACATTCTATAGTGGATCCCTCATCAAAAATGTTGGATCAAGAGAAATAAGATTCACAAAACATATTTCTTTTTTCTCATCGCGGGTCCATTGGGTTTGTTTACATATCAAATCCTACTGACTCTCTTAAAACCCATGATCCCCTTTTAAAGCTCATCGGTGCTCACTTGGCTGGGTAATCCTATCAGTCAAAATGCAGCTTTAATAAAGACAGCACTCACCCTCGAACCCAGAAAACACTTAACATGACATTTGAATCAGCCTGACATTTCACAGCCAGAGAGTTTCATGTTTTGCCCGATGGATGCCACAGAAAACACGGCCTAACTAAAATATTCTTTCTCTGACTAAAACCATAGCACCACAGTGAAATGAAATAAATGCACAATGACGGCTTTTTAAACCAGTGGGATTGATTTGACGATTTATTTGTTAAGTAAAAACATAATTGCTTTGATAAAGTGATTCTTCCCTGATGGAACACATTTAAAAATCAAGCTATCTAATATGAAGACAAATCAACAGGATGAAACTAGCAAGGTCTGGGGGGTAGGGGGGTATGAAAAAGACCAACTGACTTCAGCTTTGTGTTCTTGTCCTTAGAAATATCACAGAGGTACCAGTTTTTCCTTTGAGGCCTGGGAAATATGCTATATGCTGGTTCTTCTACCTTTAGACAAAACTTTTAAGGTAGGATAATAATCGTCAATGTAGTATGATGACATATGGCTATATTTTCAGTTAGATGTAATGATCACTAAGGCATATAACTTCATTTTCCAACATGAAATCATTAACTTATGCAAGTAGATTAGGTAAGATAATGTGGAAGTAGAAAAATGAAATGAGCAAGTAGATGGATTAAGGTGTAAAAAATAGAGTTGTCTAATAAATCACATATTCTGTGTATGGAAAAGGAGCGGGAGTAGTAGCTTAGTGGCTGATGAAGTAAACTGAGAATAGGAGCGTGTGAGGGTTAACTGAGGAAAGTTAAACAGCAACAAAAAAATATCAAAAAAGAATTCAAATAGACATCCTAACATTACCCTTTTAGAGAGGAGAAGAACAAACTGGGTACAATGTTGCAAACCTATAATGCCAGAACTCGGGAGGCTGAGGCAGAAGGATCACTATACATTTGAAGCCATCCTTGGCTACATAGTAAGTTCAAGAATAGGCTGAACTACATTATGAGACCCTGTCTCAAAATAAGAAGACTAAAATAAAATAAAATGAAATGCAGGAACTAAGCTCAAAATTTTCAGGCTGAATAAGATTAGAAAGAAACTACAGACTTAGATGGTTAATAGAAAGTTTAATGCAAATATATCACTGCTCTTAAGAGATAATAAAAATTGACAAGCTTCTGGCTAGACTAAAAAAGTAGAGAATATTCTATAAGTACGATCTAAATTAAAGAAGAATCATCGCAATCATTACAACAGGATATAAAAGATTAGACAAACATAGTCCAACAATTAAGATAACTTAGTTTTAGAAGAAATGAATAAATTCCTAGAATCATGCAACCTACCAAAACTGAGTGAAGGACAAAATCTGAACAGAGTCAGTTAGAAGATAGTATATTGAATCATTATCTCCCAGCAAAGAAAAACCCAAGACCAATAGCTAGCTAAGTGCTTTGTATCATACAATAAAGGAATAACCAAACCAGTATTTCTCAAACTCTTACAAAAATTGTAAAGGAAGACATAACTTTCAGTTTATTGTATAAGGGCAGCATTACCTTAACATGAAAGTTAGACAAGGATGCAACAAGAAAAAGCTTCAGGCCAATATCT